CTGCTCCTCCTCCTCCCTACCTTCATCCATCCATCCCTTCTCCTCCTTCTCAATCCATTCTTCCTCCTACCTCCATCCATCCATCTATCTATCCATCCTCCTGCTCTTCCTCCTCCCTACCTCCATCCATCCATCCCTTCTCCTCCTCTTCTTCCTCCTCCTCCTCCTGCCCATCTGTGGCCTTTTGCAACTGAAACGCTGCAGTCCTAAATAGCTACAGGTATTGAGTCCACAATAAAGCACAGAAGGAGTCACTTTCTAAACCAGGTGAAAATTCACTCAAAACTTCCATACACCAAAGAAAGACTAGGAAACAGTCCCAACATTCTGTGGCCCCTTTCTGGCCAATTCCCTTGGTCAGAATTCTTAAAGAAAATTTAGACCTGCAAAATTATCCCTATTTGGTAGGAACTGCTGCCCCCTGGTGGGGATTTACTAGACTACGAATCCTGAAATACAAAATACTAAAGAAAAAATAAAAATGAAGAGAAGGAAAAAAGTGATTATACTTGATGACCTCCTCTGAAATTTAAAAAAGTAAGAAGTTAATTTTACTTAAATTTAAAAAAATAAAAATAAAACTGTGTGTTGGCTCAACTTAAGCAGAATTACTTGTTCTAAAATTCCAATTCAGGAAAGTTTGTAAATGGAAAATTGAAAGAACAATTTAACAACAATTTAGCAATTGATCCCAAAATGTTTACAAAGACATAGAGGAAAGCCTTGCCAATTCTGATCATGTGACCGTGGGAATGGTGCCATGGTTGTGTGAAAAAAACAGTCGTAAATAACTTTTTTCAGTGCCATTGTAACTTTTACCACAAACAGTCACTAAACAAATGATTGTAAGTTAAGGACAATCCGTACAGTCTCTTAATTCAGAATTTCAGTAAATGTACGCACAGGGAGACAACGTAAGACAAAAAACCTTTTGCAAATTCTTTCGCCTAGTCTTAACAAAACTTCATTTTTATTATTTATTAATTGTGCAGTTTCTAGCCTGCACGATTACAGGCCTATATTTTTTTTAAAAAAATAATAACTTTGGACTTGGCTGCAAATGTCATCAGGATTTGAACACGGGGCACCCCGGCCTCACATAAGATTTTGCTGATTTTTATTTTTTTTATTTTACAATTAGCAAGAGACCTGTTTAAAAGACCAGCTCTCTCTAGCAGGCTCTCCGGGCATACGGTTTCAAATCAAACAAGATCCTTTTTTGCATTTTCAGTTTTTAGAGAAGCATCTGGCAATGCTTCCACGGCTAAGCAAAGACAATTTTTCTAAGTGAGCTTTGCCCCGTTTTAAGACTTTCCTTGCCACTGTTATTAAGTGAATCACTGCAGTTGTGAAGTTAGTAACGCAGTTCAATGTATCCAGCTTCCCCAACTGACTTTGCTTGTCCAAAGGGCGCAAAAGGGATTTTATTTATTTTATTTATTTATTTTCTCAAGCGGTTATAAGATAACAGGTATAAGAATAAACATAGTTATGAATACATGACATTGATACATATAAGAAAAATAAAAAGAAATAATAGGACAGGGACGGTAGGCACGTTGGTGCGCTTATGCACGCCCCCTACAAACCTCTTAAGAAAGGGGTGAGATCAATAGTAGACAGTCTAAGGTTAAAGTTTTTGGGGTTTGGGGAAAAAAACCACAGAGTCAGGTAGAGGATTCCAGACATTGACCACTCTGTTGCTGAAGTCGTATTTCCTGCAATCAAATTTGGTGCAATTAACCTTGAGTTTGTATCTATTGTTTGCTCTTGTATTGTTATGATTGAAGCTGAAATATTCATTGACAGGTAGGACATTGCAATGTATGATTTTATATACTATATTTAGATCGGACCGAAGACGGTAGAGTTCTAGGTTTTCTAGGTCTAGAATTTCGAGTCTGGTGGCATAAGGTATTCTGCAATGAGTAGAGGAGTGGAGAACTTTTCTTGTGAAATATTTCTGGACTTTCTCAACCGTGCTAATATCAGACATGTAATGTGGGTGCCAGACTGATGAGCTGTATTCAAGTATTGGTCTAGCAAATGTTTTGTATGCTCTAGTTAGTAGAGTGATATTACCGTGAATTGCGTGACCGCCGTAAATATGAAACAGTTGCCAAAGCATCTAAATTTTGATCACGTGACAACGGGGATGTTACAATGGTCGTACGTGTGAAAAACGGTCATAAGTCTCTTTTTTTCAGTGCTGCTGTGACTTTGGACGGTCGAACTGTTGTAAGTTGAGGACTATCTATAAATTTAAGGCTGCAACTGAGTTCCATAATTAAAGAATTTCCCACCTTCCGTTGTTTTGGTTTTTTTTCAACAGTTGCCTTGCAATCTCTGAAGAGGCTAATGAGGTCAAATTCGAAGCTGCAGGAGCAGCCGTGACTCACCGTACTCGCCAAAGACAAGGTTGGAGCACTGGCACCATGCCACGATCCACGAGACTGTTTTCACCCCGAGCCAGATCAACAGCATTCCCAAAGTGGCATCCAAGATGAAGTTCATCAAATAACTGTGGCAGAACCAGGAGAGAAATGAGGAAAACTTTGAAGAGAGCCAATCTGGTCCAAGGATGAAGTACCAGGCTAGGAACCAGGAGACTGTGAGTTCTAGTCTTGCCTTAGGCATGAAAGCCACCTGGGCGACTTTGGGCTCATCACTAGGGGACTGTGAGCTTAGTCCTGCGTTATGCATGAAAGCCAGCTCAGTGACTTTGACCAATCACAGGGAGGCTGTGAGTTCTAGTCCTGCCTTAGGCATGAAAGCTGGTTAGTGAATTTGGGCCCATCACCAGGAGATGGTGAGTTCTAGTCCTGCATTAAGCATGAAAGCTGGCTGGGTGATTTTGGGCCCATCACCAGGAGACTGTGAGTTCTAGTCCTGTCTTAGGCATAAAAGCCAGCCGGGTGACTCTGGGCCCATCACCAGGAGACTGTGAGTTCTAGTCCTGCATTAAGCATGAAAGCCAGCCCAGTGTCTTTGGCTAATCACCAGGAGACTGTGAATTCTAGTCCTGTTTTAGGCATAAAAGCTGGCTGGATGATTTTGGACCCATCACTAGGAGATTGTGAGTTCTAGCCCCGCCTTAGACGTGAGAGCCAGCCAGGTAATTTTGGGCCAAACACCAGGAGACGGTGAGTTCTAATCCCACTATAAGGATGAAAGCTAGCTGGGTGATTTTGTGCCGGTCCCCATCTTTCATCCCAACCCACCTCACAGAGTTGCTGTTGTGGGCAAAATAGGAGGAAAAGGGAGCCACTGGGCTTCTTTACCATCTTGCATTATTTATAAAAAATAATAATAAAGGCAAGCTACAGCTACATGAATAAAAAAATAAAATAAACATGTGAACTCAGTCACTTTGAGCTGCAACCAAAGAATGCTGTATAAATCCAATCAATACAAAGGCATGAAACCCAAGGAGGAAATTGACTATGGATTCTCGTTCGCTACAAAACCACGGTGTCTATATACCTGTGATGACCTGGGGCATGGCACGAAGGCAACACAGCCAGAGAACAGGTATGAGTCCCTTTATTGACTCCAATTTTGCCCCCAACATCCCGTTTACTCTCCGGCCTGGAGAAAAGCTCTCAAATGAACCTGCAACAGCCTCTGGCTGCAGATACTCCAGTCCAAATGCTGTAAGCAGAATGACAGCAATCAATCACTCCAGCAGGGCAAGATAGTGAGTCCAGTAATTCCAGCAAGGCAAGATAAGCACACCGAAGCACAGCAATCATTCAGACAGTCAGGAGGAAGACCAGGAATGCAGGCCACAACTCTCAACACTAGGTGAATTCAGCGTTTGTTCCTGACAAACGTCCCTCCATACTGCCTCTCCTTTAAACTCCATCCCCAGGTGTGCCTTGTGAAGGGAATCAGGGCCCTTTCCTTCCTCGTAAGCCACGCCACCCACATTGCTCTCTTCTGCGTTCTTCCCTGTGCACCCTAGGGGTTGGGCCTCTGTCTAAACACCACCTCCCTTGTTCTACCTTTTCCCTGCTCTGCCCAGCCAGACTTTGCTGTTCCCCAGTTTCCTCCAAAGCCAACGGGGCCACTCTCCCACTTTCAGTCAGCCTGTTCGTCTTACCCCTCGGATTCAATGGGAGCATGACCCCACTATTTCAGAGGTGGTATGCAGCAGGTTCTGACCAGTTCTGGAGAACCGGTAGCGGAAATTTTGAGTAGTTTGGAGAACCAGCAAATCCCGCCTCTGACTGGCTCCACCCCCATCTATTCTCTGTCTCCTGAGTCCCAGCTGTGAGTTCTAGTCCCACTTTAGCCAGGAAAGCCAGCTGGGTGACATTGAGCCAATCACCAGGAGACTGGGAGTTCTAGTCCCACTTTAGCCAGGAAAGCCAACTGGCTGACTTTCGGCCAGTCCCTCTCTCTTACTCCAGCTCCTTTCAACCTGGTTGTTGTGGGGAAAACAGGAGGAAGATGCTGTGCTGGATACGTTCGTCACCTTGAACTATTTGTAATAGTAATAAAGGCAGGCTACACATAAATTAATTAAAATGAAATAATGTTCTGCTTTGGCTAAAGACAATTGTCTTCCTCGTTGTTTGTCGCTAGGACTGTTTTTGTGTTCCTTCATGTTTCTAATCGGTACCAGAGTTGGTACTCGGCTGGTTCTGACCAGTTCTGCAGAACCGGTAGCGGAAATTTTGAGGAGTTCGGAGAGCCAGCAAATCCCACCTCTGACTGGTCCCGCCCCCTTTATTCTCCGCCTCCTGAGTCCCAGCTGATCGGCTGGGTCTCCTTTGGTTGCCCTGCACAGGAGAAGGGAGCTGGAAAGTAGGTTAGTGGGGTGGGGAGGGAATGGGGATTTTGCAGTATCCTTCCCCTGCCACGCCCACCAAAGCCACACCCACCAAAGCCACACCCACCAAAGCCACGGCCACCAAAGCCACACCCACCAAAGCCACGCCCACAGAACCAGTAGTAAAAAAAATTGAATCCACCACTGCACCCTTTCCCTATTTAGATGCCCAAACAAACCGTGGTTTCCTGTGAACCAGGCATCTGGGAGGATAGAAGGGCTGTACGGGTTTTAAAGGCACAACTCTTTACGCACAAAAGCCAAACTCACAGAGAGCAGGGGTCCTTTTCCGTCAGGTCAGACAAGAAGACGTTGGCAAAGTGGACGAAGACAGCGCCGATGGCTTGCTTGGAGGTGTCATAAAACCTTGATGGGATTTGGATTCAAGAGAGAACCGTACTTTAAAGACTTGGGGAGGGGACTTTGTTAATTCAACAGAACACAAAAGGAAAAAGACAGGCAGTCCCCGACTTACGACCACAACCGAGCCCAACATTTCCGTCCTTAAGTGAAACATTTGTCAAGGGAGCTTTGCCCCACGATACGACTTTGCTTGCCACTGTCACTAAGTGAATCGCTGTAGTGGATAAGTTAGTAAACCCCGGTTGTTAGGTGAATCTGGCTTCCCCATTGACTTTGCTTGTAAGAAGGTCGCAAAAGGGGATCATGGGGCACTGCAATGGTCGTAAGTGTGAAAAACAGTCATAAGTCCATTTTTTTCAGTGCTGTTGTAACTTTGATCACTAAACGAATGGTTGTAAGTCAAGGGCTACCTGTACAGCTGTACATTTTAATTTAAAAAAAAAATGACTTGCTCAAACACAGGTGATTTCTAAAATTGCAGAATACATTCCCCGATGTCATCCTTATTTTAGCTAAAATTCATGGCCAACTTTTCCAAGAGAAAATAGAACTACCTATCATCTTTCTATGTATATAAAAGTGAAATACCACTTACGCATCATCACAAAATCTCCAGAACCGTAAAGCCTACAAACTTGGAAATTTGGCACATATGTTTCTCTTGGCTCCTAGGTGCTCACTAAGAAAGGATTTTTTGAAATGACCATCAGAGCATTAGAATTTCATACATTATTATTAACACGCTCTGATGCTAAGGAGTTCTACTCCCCCTCCCCACCTGAAAAGAAATCTCTTCCAGATGCAAAACACAAGCAGAGGAGTTTCCGTTTCAGTTTTAGTTTCACAGCACCCAGAGCTTTAGTACAGAACAGTTGAGCTAAGCCACGCCCAAGCACCTTGCTGTCTCCTTCTTGCTCACACAGCAAACAGCCCTCAACTCTCTCACACACTGACAGGACGCTAGCCAGATGAATACCGATGGATGCTGGTAGGCAGAGGCAGAATTTCTTTTTCCTTATTTTCCTCCCCAAAAACTAAGCCCGACCACATAGTTTCGTAGCGAAGCACAGATATCCAGCTAGTATTTATATATCTATATCTTCATATCCATTTCCATATTTATATCTATATCTATATCCATCTCTCTCCCCCTCCACATTCTCTCTATAACCATATTCTCTATATCTATCCAATCTATTCATCCATCAATCATCTATCAATCATCTCTCTCTCATCCTACCATATTCTCCAAGATCGTCTCTCTTCTTTGGGCTCCTTAAATCGTTTTACTGTGAAAAAAAAAATATTTATACTTTTTTTTTTTTTGGAAGACATAATAAATGGCAATATGTATTTAACAACAATCTGGCTGGTTGAGCTTTAAATATGTTGCATTCAGGGTGTTTAACTTGATATTCCTTATTTAGATAATGTGGCCTTCCAGAAGCCCAGGATTCGAGATGAATTATTTCCACTCTCCTGCCCACCTAGCAGTTCAAAAGCATGCCAATGCGAGTAGATAAATAGGAACCACTTTGGTGGGGAGGTAACTTACAAGCCAAAAATTCTGTTTTTCTCTTTCAAAACCTGTCAACTTCCTGGCTAGGAAAAAAATATATCAGAGCCTGTACCTGGTGGAATTTCTGGTTTTGCTTAAAAAGGGGTTGTGGGGGGGGGGCAAGATTAATGACATCATGAAGAGGTCATTTTGCAGAAGATTCAAACCACACAATTGGTGTCATGTGCACAATGAGGCACATGACCTCAGAAAGGCTGTTCCCATTTCATTTTATGGGAGAAACTGGACATGGCTGAAAACGGAAAAGATTTTTGATGTCTGGAAAAAAATCTAGTGCAGCAGGGAAGGGGTCAATGCATTGCTCCTGTTATACTGCGAGACAAGTGGCGTATAAATGTAATAAGGGATGGGATGGAATGGAATAGGAGAAGAGAAGAGAAGAGAAGAGAAGAGAAGAGAAGAGAAGAGAAGAGAAGAGAAGAGAATATAGAGTAGAGTAGAGTAGAGTAGAGTAGAGTAGAGTAGAGTAGAAGATAATAGAATATTAGAATGGAATAGAATAGGAATAGAGAATATGAATAGAGAATAGAACAGAATAGAACAGAACAGAACAGAATAGAATAGAATAGGAATAGAGAATAGTAATAATACAGAATAGAATAGAATAGTAATATAGAATAGAGTAGAAAATTAGAATAGAATAGGAATATAGAACAGGAAAATAGAATAGGAATAGAGAATAGAAAAGAAAATTAGAATAGAATAGAATAGAATAGAATAGAATAGAATAGAATAGAATAGAATGAATGAAGGAAGGAAGGAAGGAAGGAAGGAAGGAAGGAAGGAAGGAAAGAGTAGAGTAGAGTAGAATAGAGTAGAGTAGAGTAGAAGAGAAGAGAAGAGAATATTAGAATGGAATAGAATAGGAATAGAAAATATGAATAGAGAATAGAATAGAACATAATAGAATAGAATAGGAATAGAGAATAGAATAGTAATAATACAGAATAGAATAGAATAGTAATATAGAATAGAGTAGAAAATTAGAATAGAATAGGAATATAGAACAGGAAAATAGAATAGGAATAGAGAATAGAAAAGAAAATTAGAATAGAATAGAATAGAATAGAATAGAATAGAATAGAATAGAAAGAAGGAATAGAAAAAATTCGGTGTGCGGATGCTGATGGAGGCTCACAGAGAGAAGAAAATCCCGCTCCACACCGCCTTCTTGGACTTGGAAAAGGCCTTCGACCGAGTCCCGCATGATCTCATCTGGTACGCACTGCGAGATCACGGCGTGCCCGAGCTACTCGTACAATGGGTCCAACTCCTATACAGATGTCACAAAAGCCGTGTAAAAGCGGCAGCTGGGATATCAGAGGAGTTCAATATCACCGTCGGCGTACACCAGGGCTCTGCTCTCTCACCACTGCTGTTCATTCTGGTGATGGACACAATTACACACGACCTGCACACGCCCGCCCCATGGACACTGCTCTACGCCGATGATGTGTTCCTGGCCAACCTGCGCAAGGCTGAACTCGAGCACCTAGTCCAACAGTGGCACGACCGCCTCGAGCAGTTCGGGCTCCGGTTGAACCTAAAGAAGTCCGAATACCTGACCACTGACAACGAAACGACAGGCTCCATCCACGTGAACGGGCAGGAGCTACCGCGCGCCTCCACCTTCAAGTACCTGGGAACTACTCTTGGGGAAGAAGGCCTACTACAAACTGAGGTGGCAGCCAGGATCAACGCAGCGTGGGGCAAATGGAAGTCCGTCACGGGCGTCCTCTGTGACAAGAAGATGCCGATGCGCCTGAAGGCGAAAATCTATAACTCTGTGGTGCGCCCCGTGGCCATATACGGCGCAGAGTGCTGGCCGACGACCAAAGAAGTCGAAAGCAGACTCCAGACAATGGAGATGCGAATGCTCCGATGGTCGGTAGGCCTCACCCTACTCGATCGCGTCAGGAATGAAGAAGTACGCAGACGGTTCAACGTCGTGCCCATCCCCACGGTCATGAGGCAGTCCCGGCTACGATGGTTCGGCCATGTGAGTCGCGCCAAGGAAGAATCCATCATCAAATCTGCGATGAAGGTGATTGTCGGAGGAGCGAGACCGCGTGGTAGACCTAAGCAATGCTGGATGGACACGATCAAGGCCGATCTAGAGATCGCGAAGGCAGACCCGACATACGTGGCAGACAGAGAGGCATGGAAGCAGTACTCAAGGACATTAGCGGACCTCGCCAGAGCGCGAGACAAACGCTGAAGAAAAAGAAGAAGAAGAAAAGA